AGGTAAAGATATCTCCCAGTGCTCAAGTTATAGACCGATATCATTGCTGAACACAGATACGAAGTTGTATGCAAATGTTTTAGCGAATAGGTTGAGGGATCTAATGCCAGATTGGATACATGGGGACCAGGTGGGCTTCGTCAGAGGAAGGAAGGGTCGAGATAATGGGTTGAGATCCCTGATGCTTATTCAGAAAAGTCGAACGGGAAAAAATCCAGTACTATTGCTCTCAATAGACGCGGAGAAGGCGTTTGACAGGGTTAATTGGAGCTTTATGATTGATACGCTAGAGGCTTTGGGACTGGGTAAGAGGATGAGGAGATGGATTGGAAGACTGTATGAAGGGCCTTCCGCGATGATAATGGTAAATGGAGAGAGATCAGAGTCTTTTTTAATGACAAACGGAACTAGACAGGGCTGCCCACTATCCCCATTGTTGTTTGTCTTGTCATTGGAACCCTTGCTATTAACAATCAGGAAATATATAGATATAAAGGGAATTAACGTAGGAAAGATAGAGCACAAGGTTGCCGCATTCGCGGATGACCTATTGTTCTATATTGGTAACCCCAGGATAACGCTTCCTAACCTAATGAAAACATTGAAGGAATATGGAGAATTGGCAAACCTAAAAATTAATTCGAGTAAAACAGAGATATTAAATATAAATCTTCCAAAGAGCGAAAAAGAAATGATACAGAGAGAGTTCCCCTTTATATGGAAAGATAGAGAAATAAAACATTTAGGAGTAAAACTTACTTCTTCACAGAAAAATCTTTATAAAGCAAACTATATACCATTGTTAAATGAGATTAGGGAGGAATTGAAGAGAATCGGAGGAGGAAATCCTTCGTGGTTAGGTCGTATTAACTTAATAAAAATGGTAATTCTCCCTAAGGTTTTGTATAAACTCCAAATGATTCCCATTAAACTCCCAGGGACATACTTTAGAACAATTAAGCAAATGCTAACAAGATATATATGGAAAAATAAAAAACCTAGAGTATCATATGAAGTGCTGAGTAGAAATAAGGAAAAGGGTTGGGTGGGAATGCCGGATCTCAAAAGATATTATAGAGCAGTGATCCTATCAAGAATTTTTGATTGGAAACACAATACAAAGAGTAAAAATTGGGTTACAATAGAAAATACACTTAGTGGGAAAGATTTGAGTGGGATCGTTTGGGTGTCAACACAGTTTAGAGAATTAGCTGAGAGCACAAGTCTATACACTAGGATTGTTTTGAAAGAATGGGATAGATTGCACAAACTGAGGAATTGGGATTTTAATTCACTGTTAATGCCATTAAGAAATTCAGAGTTTTTCCCCCCAGGTAAAGAGGAAATTACGGGTAAATGGATTAAGAAAGAGGATGCTCAGTTGAGAGACGTAATGGGGGGGGTAAACTTAAGAACACTAGAGGATTTGAAAAGGGAAGAGGGAGGTATTTTCACTAAGATAGATATATGGAGGTATAATCAATTAAAACAATTTGTGGGGAAACTGACGAAGCCCCTTAGAATTAGAAAAGATTGGAATTTATTTGAGAGAAATTTTTTGAAATTCGAGGTGATGGGAAACACAGTACTGCTAAAACATACAAAATTCTCACTGATTTAGATAGTAAGGTAAAATTAAGATATATAGAAAAATGGGAAAGGGATTTGGGGGTGGAGTGGGAGGAACATACACAAAGAAAAATATATAGAATGGTACATGGAAATGTTAGCATGCGGGAGGTGGCATTGAACTATAAATGTTTAAGTAGGTGGTATATCACTCTGATGGTAGAGCACAAAATGAGTGGTGAGAAACAACCTGGGTGTTGGCGAGAATGTGGAGAGGAGGGCACAACGTATCACGTGTGGTGGGGGTGCCCAAAAATACAAGTTTATTGGAGAAAGGTTATAAATCAAATTAGGAATATCACTGAAATTGAGATTGGTTTGGACCCTGAAATATGCCTTTTTCATATCACAGAAATATCAATGAATACATTTAAAGATATGGGTATAGAGTGCTACTTTAAATGCAGCTAAAGGATTGATACCTAGGTTTTGGCGTAAAGTTGAGGCACCGAAGGTAGATGACTGGATAGACAGAGTGGATCAGATTGTTAGAATGGAGAAATTATACTATATACAGGAAGACAAGATGGAGGTTTATAATACAAAATGGAAGCAATGGGAGGAATTTAGAGCAAAGAAGAAAGAAGTCACTCCGTGAATAAGAATAAAGATGTGAATCGGACAGATGTCAGGGGTTTATTGAAGAGGGGTGGGAGGGAGGGGGGGTTGAGGTAAGGGGGTTAAGGGGAGAAAATTATATGCAATAAGTGTTTTTAGAAGAAATTTGTTATGTTGTACTTTATTACTTCTTGTGTTGGAAATATTTATATTGCTATATTTGAAAACAAATATTTAAATTGAAAAAAAAAAATTATCTGCAAGAGGACAAAGAAAACAATTGTTCACTATGTGTGCTATTGATCTCACATCAGTTTTTTTTTTTTTTTCCTTGCAGAAAACTGCATACATGTTGCAGATTCCTGTGCAGAAAAAATCTGCACATTATACTAGTTGTGTGGTGTGAGCAGGGCACATAGAGAACAGTTGTTTTTTCTTTGTGCTCTTGCAGAAGGCGTGCAGAAAAATTCACGTCTCTGCACATGGAGTGAACAAGGCCTAAATAATTGGTTACCGTGAGAGATCTGGTTTGACAAATAAGCAGCACCTTCGAAATGTTTTGCCTCCCCACATGTCAGATGCAGAGCAAGCCGTGAAGAGTAAGGGTAGCACTGTATTCAGAACAAATAACTTTTGTTTTTCGCATTACCATTAGAGATCAGAAGCTGAAGTGGTTCTGTGTGCTGTGGCAGCTTATTTTTTTTATGTGTATTAGAGTTTTCCTACTCTGAATAAATGAGCACAGGGAGCACCTTTGGACAGTAACATTGTAAGCCTGGGGGGAGGGAAGTATGGCTGTGTGCATTAGGCACATGAAAGCAGTAGGCAACATCCATCTTGTTCAGGTCTTAAGTCTTCCATGCCATTTTGTCAGAAGAGAAAAATGGCCAGAGTGACCTTTTCTTCTCTCCCCCTCCCACCTCCTTTCAGTTTATACAATCTACAAAATCTTCCTTGCTGGCAGATACCCCTTATCAGCCTGGTAATAGGACTAGCAGAATCTAACCCCCAATATACATCGCAGGATCCATAAGTGTCTTATGTAGCCGCTTCAATGACCAGAAAGTTACCAGACAGTCATAAATACCTTAGTTGGAAATCATGAGAATACACATCCCTGATGGACTGGTTATCAGCAAAGACTCAGCAGATTCCATGATTCATAAAATAATGACAGCACAACCAGAATATACATATTTACCTGCCTCAGTTATTGGGTAGCATTGTGAACCAAGCACCCTTATGCTAGGGGTACCAGAGTGGATTAGGCCTCCACACCCCTCCTATGAGAAATATATCCAAGACCTGTCAGATCTATATCCATTTTGAAGCTAATTTCATGCTGGACAATAATCTGCCTGGTAGCAGACTCTAAACGACAGGTATTCAGAAATATGAATACTTATAAGAAACTGTATTCGGACCTGGTCATAAATGTGGTGACATCCCAGCACCCACCCCTTAAACCAAATGATTGGTCAGATGGTCTCTGTCAACACCCCTTTGATACCACAGAAAAAGGGAATGTCAGGACCTTTTGACTAGCTCTCATGTACCATCAACAAAGGAACATCTGTCAAGTTATGAGAGCTGATAATAACTTGCTTATTGACTGAACTCTGCTAAAACCAAGGACTTTGCATGTATTCTTTATTTTCAATTCCTTTTTAATTCTCTGTTGCTTTATTATCTTTTTTCCTTGTAACACCCTTCCTTTTTTTTTTTTTTTTTTTTGTAAATATTTTATTTGCACCATTTTGACCTTTTCATTATTAAACCCTATTTAGAAAAGTGTTGAAATTGTCTCTAACTACGCTAATGCAAACTAAATGAAACCCTGTTTCTTGAAGAGTGCTACTGTATATGATACATTTCTAAATGTACCTGTGGTGACAGTGTGTACAGATGTTTTTTTTTTCATACTTGTTCTTGCTAATATTGTGAAGGGTTGATAGGCCCAAAGCTATCGGGTGGCAGTTTGGAGTTTGAAGGGTTAATTGCTTAGGTAACTTAACCCAGTTATAATTGCTCTCAGGCTGCTGGGACCTAGATTGTGGTCCCTTGAGCTGGAAAATCTTTGTGCAGGGTGCAGCTGAGAGTGGCATTGTTACATAAGTGACAGCGTGGTGTTAGATTAGCCAGTCCGTTGTCATGAGTTGGAGAGAAGGGCAGGGATCGGACACTGCATTCATCACAGGGAGTGTTAGGTATACTAGCAAATTTAGATAACCAGCAAACTGAAGCCAAACTCCAGCTAATACTTTATAAGCAGCCACATCAAACAGTTTATTTTCCTTTTGAGATAAAGGTTATACATAAATAAATTCTGACCATTGTACGCACAGCTGCTAGTGTTAAATGGTTTGTCTTACCTCTGTAATGGATACATTCTGCTGGAGCGCTTATTCTTTTTGAAAAACAACAGACTTTCTGGTCAGATCTCCAAATGAAAATGGAAGAAAGAGTCTAAAAAAAAATTTAATGCAGCCATCACATCTAAGAACTATTAAGCTGCAATATATTAAAATTTTGCTTTTGGGGTTATTGCCTTTTTAAATGCTCTTAGTATTCTCCTATGAAATCTTCATAAATCTTTCCCTTCATTTTTGACTGTCATTTGACTGTGATTGCAATCTAGACTCATCATAATTATCAAAACTAAAGCATGGTTATCAAAACAAAAGTTGCGTAAGAAGTCAGAGATCCATTGTAACATGCAATCCATCCCAGGTACAGTATATGAAAGGTATTGACGTGTATGGTATATTTAGGAACATGAATTATTCTCTATCTTATTTTGTTCCCACCACCAGGAAGATGGCCGTGGTCAAGGATTTACAGATGGTTCTTACCAGGGAAAACCGTTATTCCGGTGTGATGAGGAATGTGGAGTGTTTGTCGCTCTTGATAATTGGAGCTGTGTGAGGAAGATGATGAGGAAATGGAAAGTGATTACGCATCACCAGTGGACAATAACCAGACAGAAATCCCTCCTTTAGAGATTAACTCCAGGGTGTCTCTTAAAATTGGGGAAGGAATGGAATTTGGGACTGTGATTTTTTGTGATGTCCTGCCTGGGAAAGAGAGCCTTGGATATTTTGTCGGAGTAGATATGGTAAGTCTTCAATTTTCCAGTTCCAAAGTGAGAAATGTGTTCCTTTTTTCTTCAGAATTACTTTAATACTAACATAGTTTCTAAAACACTAAAAGAAAAGTACAGTAAAAAAACATATTTTTGCAAGGCATCCAGTGTACTTAAAGCCACACTCCAGCCAAAACATATTTTGGAGAAAGGATAGACCTTCTGTTACCTCCTTTATCGAAGAAATACAGTAAATCTCTTTTACGGAGTATGATACTTTAATTAAAAGAAGTATGGGGTTGGGGAAAAGAAAAATGTATACTCACCTAGGTGGATGCAGCATTGATCCAATGCAGCATCTGTCCCCCAGCAGCTCTGCACTGAGAGTTGAGTGATCAAAGACTGCTGATTGCTCAGTTGTCCACTCTGCTCTGAGCAGAGAGCAGTGACTGTCAATCACTAGCTGTCTGCTTTGTCCCTCTAGCGCTCACTGGAGCGCTGGGCTGTGGAGATGGTGGAAGGTGTTGGTTCAGGCTCTCAGCTGTATGCTGAAAGGCTGAGCCTGATGCCAGCCAGTCATCTGGGTGGATCCCAACCATATTGTTAGGATCATTTCAGAATCTGGACCAGCTCTGTGATGCCAGACTACAACGGTATTTAGCCTGCTGTTGGCTTAAAATGGGTCATAGGAGTGCAGAGCTGACTGTTTTTGTCTTGGTTTAGGGCAATGGATTTATTCTGTGTCCTGGTCATTTTGGCATTTGGTCCTTTAATCTTGTCAGAATTGGTTCATCAGATGGCTCTTGGACTACAGGCAGGCCCCAGTTCTGCTTTGTTGAGTCTGTTGACAGTTGTTGCTGTTTGCTTATCCTTCAGTTGGACTACTGTTGGACCTCCCAACAGTGTACAACTTCCTATTTACCGTAACGGATGAGAAATAAAATGTATTTTTTTTTTTTTGTACTCACAAAAATACTTTTCTTGGAGCTCGTTTAGTGGAACAAGTCCCATCTCCCTGTTTTTATGATTGCTCAAGTGACCTCCTTGGTAGAGAGTTGGCTTTTTGGAGTCACTTAAGGGCCTAACGTCTGCAAAATTTGACCGGACGGAACTTTTCAAGCATCTATCATTGGCAGTTATATGTCAGGTGAGGTTGTTCCGCTTCAACACTTGCTTATTAGGGCTACACCCATGTGCCATTGGATTCCTCGTTAGCAGTCAAGGGAGTTCACCCCCCCCCCTCCCATCAGGGGTGGATAGGACATTGGGGGAACATCTTTAAAGATGGTGCTCCATTACCCCCCTTAGAATAAACTACTAAATACCTTTTCTCATCAGCAGCTGGAGCAGTCTTGTGTGACTTCTATCGGTGTCTGCAGAGCACTGGTTAAAGCTTTTAGGAGGAGTTTTCATTCTCCTCTAGGACCCCTGACCTCTGTCTGGACAGTGCTGATTGGCCCTGTGCTGACCACATGCACTCTCCCAAGAAAAAAAAACCTCTCTCTAGCAATGCACTCCAAACTGAGCATGTACAGAGTGACTCCAAACCTCTGTTCTATCAAGAGATATTTAGGGGACAATGGAAGAAGGGGAGGATCAGAGAAGATCGGATCAAATATCCTTTTTAAACATTGTGGAGAAGTACCTCCTTAGGTGCCACAATGAGTATAAACAAGCATGATCTACTGCATATACAGACTAATTTTACTGTTGTGTGTTTAGTAACAATTATTATTCTAAAATCTAAGATATCTACAATAAATGCATTTGTTTATCAACCATACAGCGCTGATATACTGTATGTATCAAAACTTACACATACTTGGTGACATGTGCTCTAATTAAATGATAGAATATATTTTCTTAAAAATACTTAGACTAAATTAAATATACATAAAAATATTTTACTTTAAACAAAATAAAACTGCCTTTTTTTCATTTTGTTCACTTCTCTGTATTGTGAGGGATTAGCCCAGTAGCGGGTTGTGCTTGACCCCCTGGATGGGTCAGAAGACCGTGAAAGAGGCTCAGCACGACAGCAGGATCTTGGTGAAAAGTTGTGCTTTATTTACAAGTCTGGTGAACACTTGGTGCATATAGTCAGCAAAAAAAATACAACCAGAAAATAAAACCTTGCCACACTGGGCGTCTAACTACAAACACAGGTTTCCGATCTTGCTGTCTGAATACAGCCTACTGCTGCACAGTCACAGGGGGTTCACATAGTCTTAAGATCACACAGATTATCTCTCCACACAGGATGGTTTGGTTGCTCCCCAGTCTGTCCTGCACAGCAAACTGGTTCCAGGTTGGAGCATCCTCCCTATGCAGCCTGGGAGTTTTATAGAGCCCTCAACTCACTACACCTGAGCTCATTTAAATCAGTGAGCCAGACAGGCTCACTACACAGCACCAAAGGAGAAACCGTCAGTGTAAAGCATGAACCTGGGACAAACATACCTCCCATCCTGGACAAATCCTTTAGTTCTTCCTGACCTCCTGTCACAGTATGTTTTGAAAACAGTTATGGTACTTTTCTACTTTTTGTTTTACTATGCTATGTTCAGTAAATCATTGCATAGAAAACTTCAAGATTTGATAAAGTCATAAAGGTTTTGATTACCCTCTGGACTTGAAAGGGTTACTACACTGGCTTGCTCCAAGCACAAAGCGTAATATGTAACCTATTATTTATTATATTATTTCAATTCTCTATTATGTATATTATTATTTATACTTGTTTAGTTTTTAAGAAAATTAAAACTAGTTTTGCATTTTTAACAAAGGCAAGTGTTTTTATTCTATCAATTCTTTTGTTGAGCATTTTGAGCTAATCATATTACAATTTTTGAGAAATGTGTAGTTGCCTTGATTTATCTTCCACTGCTAGAAGTGGAAATTTTACTCTTGAGCTGACTGTAATGTAAACAATGTGAGGCTAGCTCAAAATAGATAGTTACAGAAATGGAAGTTTGTAATTTTGTTTTTTTTTTTTGGTGCCCAGCCCTAAATTACACTTTCACATTTCTTTACAAAGAGCGCCTGTTAGAGGCCAGGTTATTTGATCCTCTCCTTCAACTGCTAGCTGCTGTCTCTTAAAATAAGAAAAGATGTTTATTTGAAAAAAAGATATTACCAATGTTTTCTTTTAATTTTAAAGGACAATCCTATAGGAAATTGGGATGGAAGATATAATGGAATCCAGCTGTGTAGCTTTGCTAGTGTTGAAAGCACACTTCTTCTACACATTAATGACATCATTCCAGGTAGGAATTTGGTCTTATTCTTCTCTGTATTGTTTAGTTTGGTCACTTTATTGCTGTTGAATGTATCCAAAGTATATGTTTTCTAAAATATAGTGTGTATTACGTTTATAACTTTGACAGTTGTTATTCAACATTTTCATTGTAGTCTGTAGGTTTTTTTATTTTACTTTTTTTAATATTTTACTTGGACAAACCGTTTTAGTACAAAGATTTGACAGATATTACCAGGTCATGGAAATAGTTGAAAAAAGGCCTGCACTAGAATATTGTAAAGCATTCTCTTTATGAAACAAAATGCACGTTGATTGTAAAACCACAAAAGCCAGGAGATTTCTTGCTTAGCGGGCATAGCAATGCAAATTATTTTTTTTATGTTAGAGGCCAGCTGTGCATTCAGAACCCCTGATGTGTAGCATAGGTATGATCAAACGTTATATAGTCACTTATTACATAATAAAATTGTCAGTAGAGGAATATAAACAGGGGAAAACTACAGCAGATTCCAGATTTTTTTTTTTTTTCCCTGTTTCTATTCCTGTACCGACTAAGTATCTGGTTATAGGAATCTAGAGCTGACATAATAAAAGCTCAGGCAAGAGTATTGGTTCCTTTTGTATATCCCTCTGAGGTGCGGTGGGCACATTATAAAAATACTAGTTATATTGTCAGTACAAGCCATAGTAACTATAGCTTCTGTATTGTAGGGTTTGGCATATAACAAGCTTGAGTAATCAAATAGGTTATGGTGGGAGGGGGGTGGGGCAAAAGGAACCAAAAAGCCTTATACTAGTTTCCTGCATTTGTACTGGAAGTGATTGCATATTAACATAGTCTGGTTGAAAACAGACCGACACAGATCCATGTAGTTCAACAAAAAAATGCACACACACACACACCCACCTATATCCACAGTTGATACTTTTTTAAGAATGTGGTGCTGTACTTCTTATTACAGAAGTGACCTATTAAACAATGCATATGCCTTTTATGTTCATACATTAATGCAAACCTGTAGTTGTGGTAATGCTACTAAACAATCACTGGGTTTCTTATAAGGCAACTCACAGTGCCTATACACAGATTCATCTTTCTTCTAGAATATCTTGGGATCCAAAATCTGGGGCACTGTTGTGTTTATCTGGACCCCCATTTGTGGTTCAAACTTTGAGTTGCTCCTTCCCATCACCTTAATTTCACGATTAGCCCACCATTATGATGAGATTTCACAGGATTGGGCACAGGATGTGCCTCGAGCTCTCTTCCATGGAAATTGGTCAAGATTTACATCCTACATACCAAAGCTAGAAGTCCACTTTTAAGAGGGTTCTTGTGGTTGTTTGTTGGAATGCTGTGATGGAACCCCATCTATGCTTCTACACAGGCTTCACTCAAATAGTGAATCTTGATTTTCGTTTTCTGAATTCCAGAGTTGTATCAAAACTTACACAAGTCTGAAGTTCCAAATGGTCATAATCTATATCGCAGCTCAGAAAAAAAGTCTTTTAAAGAAGACCTGTCAGCAGATAAACCGCTCTGAAAGCTTACATTTAACTGAATATTTATTATATAACGGTTATTACTGTAGTACAGAGGGATTTTCCTGTCTTTACATACCTTCTATTTTGGTACTTAATTTTTTTTTATTATTATTTATAACTGGCAAATTTCAAGTAAACCACCAACTTCTTGTAGTTCTTGCATGCTTCTGATTGAGGTGGTAAAGCTGCATTTTTACATTTGATGGTGACATCGGAACAAAACTTTATGGGTGTGGTAAACTAATAAAATGTTTTTGTTTTTTTCTTAATTAAAATAATAAACATGTTTTCTTGCCTGCTCTGTGGTTTTGCACAGAGTGGCCTTGAACCTCCTCTTCTGGGGTCCCCTGCTGGCCGTTTTGTTTAGGATAGTTGATGAAGGTAATGGTCTTCAGCTTGGCTCTGTAGGCTGCTTCCTAAAACATCTTATAACTGTTGAGCACATAAGCCCTAGGTTGGCTTTGAACAGACTGGACAGTGATAAAGCAGCTTTCTCACCAAAATAGATCACACTACCCCTCTTTTTTCTCATGCCATCTGGCCAACCTCCCGATGTGTGTGAGGGAAAACTGCTAAATTCTCCTAGGGTTACCACTATTTCATTAATATACTGAAATGGTATAGTATGTCTGCTTAGGCATAGGAATGTCCTAGCTTATAGCCAAAGACAGTCTCTCATAATACTGTAAGGCCCCTAATTAATGACAACTATATTTGGTTTTGGAAATGTATAAAGTTACTGCCATCCAACAAGGACACCACATTAAAAATGTAAAATTTCTGATGTGATTTTTTTTTTTTTGTACAAAAAACAATAAAGAGAATAAGTATAAAAGAGGCAATGGTATTTCTTTTTGTATTGTAGAGACTGGGGCTTCTTTAAAATGTATCCGGAGCCAAAACCATTTTGCTTTTAGCTCATTGAGGGATAGAGGAATTCAGAAACTGTCAGGTTATACTGCTGCCTACAGGGGGATTGTAAACTAACAAAAAATGTTTGAGAGACTCAGTATAACCCCCTGCTCCCATAATTCCTCTCTTTTCTGGACGTGTCCTAGGAGAATTGATGTCTGTCTGATTTGCTGTTCTACGAGGAAAAGTCTAACCTTTTTTGCTAGCTACTTTTTTATTTTTCTTCAGCCAGTATTTCTGATACATCAATGTTAAGCTGGCCCATCCATGCAGCTATCAAGCTTGGCCTTTCCTACGCTACTCTTTGCAGTGCCATACCCTCTGGACTGGAATTGTGAGGCTAGTGCATGACCTTCGGACACTGCATTTTGGTGCTTTCTAGGTCTGAATGTATGGTTAGTTAACTGTGCACTGCTCTCCAGGTCCAGAACTATGGCACAGTTCCAGGATTGACCCTGTGTCTGGAGACTCATTTTGTGAGTAGGGAGTGCAGGTCGAGCATCAAGACCTACTTTGTTACAAGTACCCCAGGTGTTATTTAAAGGCTAAGTTCACATTAAGTAAAAAATCATAAGCGCACACATATTTGCCAGAAAACAAGGTGCATTTATTTATTTCCATTGAAGCCTGCAAAGCTTTGCACCCGTGATCGGTGAGTCGCAGGTACAATAACCGGTTACTGCAGACACTTTCTCCAGACTACTGCACTTGCAGTCCATTCACAACCACAAGCCCATCTCTGTGAATGATTGACACAGGTGTGCAGGCAGAGCTGAGCCTAATGTGACCGTGGTTGTGGGAAGAAAAACCCCTCCTGCATGCTGTCACGGAGATGCGCGAGGGGGGGGGGGGTAGTGGGTGCTTTGGAACATGTATATAAGTACCTGTGGTAATAATAATAATGCTACACCCTAATTACAGGAGTAATGTAATATGTTTCTAAAGGTAAACGTTACCTTTAAAATGTCCAATTCCTGTTGGTTTACAACGTAATATCTTTCCTACCATTCAGCGATGAGGAAACACCTTCCTGTTGCTGCTTCAGACTACAAGCAACACTTGGATCTATCCTTGGTTCGTCTCTGCTACTCTCCTTCTACCAGCAGCTGGGTTCACAAATATACAAGGCCTAGCCTTGTACCTTGAGCTGTGTTGCCCCTGCCTTGCAGAACAAAATGTCAGATCCTATATACAGTGTGGAAAATAATTATTCAATCCCCTGCAGATTTTGTAAGTTTGCCCACTTACAAAAAAATTAAGGGTCTATAAATTTTTTTATCATATGTGTATTTTAAATGATATAGACAGAATATCAACCAAAAATCCAGAAAAACACACGATACAAATGTTATAAATTGAGTTGCAGTTCAGTGTGTAAAATAAGTATTTGATCCCCAAGCAAAATATGACTTAATACTTGGTGGAGAAACCCTTGTTGGCAAGCACAGAGTTAAGACGTTTCTTGTTGTTGGTTACCAGGCTTGCACACATCTCAGGAGGGATTTTATTCCCCTCTTCTTTACAGATCTTCTCTAAATCTTTAAGGTTTCTTGGCTGTTGCTTGGCAACTTGAAGTTTCAGCTCCCTCCATAAATTCTCTATAGGATTAAGGTATGAAGAGGCTAGGTCACTACATGACCTTAATGTGTTTTTTCTTGAGCCACTAATTTTGTTGCCTTTGGCTGTATGTTTTGGGTCATTGTCATGCTGGAAGATCCATCCACGACCCATCTTCAGTGTTCTGGCTGAGGGAAGAAGGTTCTCATCCACGATTTTACAATACATGGCCCTATCCATTGGCCCCTCAATGCGGCAGAGTCGGCCTATACCTTTAGCAGAGAAATGGCCCCAAAGCATAATGTTTCCACCTCCATGCTTGATTGTAGGAATGGTGTTCTTAGGGTCATAGTCAGCCTTTTTATTTCCCTCCAAACATGTCAAATCAATTTAATGGCAAAGAGCACAATTTTGATCCCTTTTGATCAGAGCACTTTCTCCCAATCCTTCTCTGAATCATTTAGATGTTCATTGGCAAAATTTAGATGGGTCTGTACATGTGCCTTTTGAGGAGAGGGACCTTGTGGGCGCTGTAGGATTTCAATCCTTGGTGGCGTAGTGTTATCAATGGTTTGTTTGTTGACTGTGGTCTCAACTACCTTGAGATCATTCACAAGCTCCTCCCATGTAGTTCTGGGCTGATCCCTCACTGTTCTCATGATCATTTTTAACCTATGAGGCAAAATCTTGCATGCAGCTCCAGACCGAGGGCGATTTATAGTTATTTTGTATTTCTTCCATTTGCGAATAATTACTCCAACAGTCTCCTTATCACCAAACTTTTTGCTGATGGTGTTGTAGCCCATTCCAGCCTTCTGTAGGTCTGCATTCTTGTCCCTGACATCCTTTGACAGCACTTTGATCTTGCCCATGGTGGTGCCTAAGAAAGATTCTGCAGACAGGTGTCTTTTATACACATAATGAGTTGTCATTAGGAGCACCTTCTTAAATTGACAGGATTAATCTGTGTTCCACATGAGTACATAGCCAGTC